CAAAAGTAATATTTTGATAGTATAAATTTTCAAAAGAATTTTCAACATCCTCTTTAAACCTTTCAAAATCTATATCTTCGAGTTCAAATTGTACATTGATGTAATCTGAGAGCAAATTATTTTCCAAATCTTTTAACCGCGTATCTAATTCTATTAACTTGAAACTAGAAAGTTCTGAATTTTTTAAAGATTGTAAAAATAACCCAAAATTGTTCAATTTAGAATTCAAAATATTACGTTTTCTTTCTAAATTCCTTACTCTTTCGGCAGTTTCAGACATTGTTTCTTCCTGTACTGACGAAGTTGAGATTGACCTTGTCTTAGGCATCTCCACCTGGTTTTAATTGATTGAAAGCTTTTCTACCAACACTCCGAGTTATTTATGGTCAAATTTCACGTAATAGGGTACCTAATGAAAACAATAATTAATATATTGATAAAAATAAGGGTAAATTATTGATACGGCGACTGTGATTCCGCGTTTACAAACCTACACAGTCTAATATAGTCCAAAAACGCGACTTTCTTTCCTGACCTGGATCCTTATGAGCAAATCCTGGAAAATGGGTACCTGCTAGACTTGTTGTTGCACAGTAATTCTTGCTTGAACAATGAAATAATGCGTCTTCTTCTTGTAGGCAATGCACTTGTAATCAATGACTGGTTTTGAACAAATAATCCACGTAAAATGATCTGGACCTGGACACCTTCTGGTCGGGTGACGTCCAATTTGCGGTTTTCGAAGGCTTGCAAACGATTATCATAGAGGAAAAATGTTACTGTGATGTTACCTTGCTCGCTTCTATATTTTTAAATGACCATGGAGTATTAACTTGCTCCCTTGAACCTTGAACTCGAAAGGGCCCTCTTATAGCCTGACTACTTCGTCGTCGGACAGGATACGCCAATAAATGATTCGGCAACGATGGACCAATGAATATATTGATAATATGAATCTTATTACCAATACCGCTTTTCTGGATCAAGCTTCTTGCAGCGCTTGCAGAATTTGCGTATTAGAAATTAATGAATTTCAGTGGACTGTATTTTTAAAAAGACTCGACTATATTTCTATTTTTCAACTTGTTATGAACAACACCACTCATCGTTATGACAATATTAAACAAAACAATTTCAAAGCTAGAGTACAAAAAGTTTATCTGGTTGCTAATTTGTGATTAATTGAAATGTCAATTTTTGATTGATTAGAAATAAATCTCAACACGTAGCTCCCTTAGGAAGCATTTCCGGGCCCATGTTAATAGGAACTTTTTGTCTTATTTTTATGCAAGGAATACGCCCCCGGAAGGATGCCGCTTACTTTTGAATCACCCGTATGTCTGTACTGGAGGAAGAAATCAGGACCGAGTTTATTCGAATACGGGACAGCAAATTCAATTATGAGAGGGTTATGAATATCTACTAAAGGTGTGAAAATAACATCTGTATGGCACATTGGATAAACCATAAAACATGGAAATGTGCATGAACAAATGGCAATATCCAAGTTAATTGGAAATTGGAATACTCAGGGCTGTGCTCTGGGATGAAAGTATATCGAAACCGTTATTAACCACGCAAGGCCGATAAATAGCAGAACGGTCGAGGCTAAAGTTTGGAATAAGGGGCTGACTTAGGCGACCTGGCGCTCAATGTAAAAGATTAACCCAAGGCCCTAGTATGTCCAAAATCTCAGATCACGCACTCGTAAAAGTCTATAGACGTAAGACTTTATGAACGGACTTAACGGCTAAATCATTCATTTTGAATTTCTCCTTCGCCACGGTGTCGCGAATGGAATTATTTAGTTGGGAATTAATTTTTGTTTTGGGAAGAAAGGGAACACCAGAATGATTTTCGATAAGTACCTATAAATTTATTGTTATAGGGCAGAGATTACATTTAAAGTACAACACACAAGAATTACCAAATAATCCTGAGCCAGCACGTCCCTTCGGGCCGGGAAGCATTTTTCCGTTTCCTATTGGGTTACCGCTACATGGAGAGCTTATCCTTTAGGACTTGTAAAATTATATCTGAGATTGCGTTTCGTATTAGGCCAGCGCACATTGTCTACCGCTAATCATATAGGACTTGTTGAAGTGCTTTGGCCGCATGAAAGTGATTTTTCAAGGTCGCGTCACTACACGATTTATATGCATATGATGAATATGAGGGTGAGAGATAAGTATTCACTTCTATAACGTGTACTGTGCTGCACGCGGCGTTTAAATTACCTATATCTAACATTGCGTTTCCTATTAGACCAGCGCACACCCTCTGCGATCGACTGCAAACATCCATTGCCATCCATTTTCAATTTAGTATCTTATTTGCCATCAAATGTTTATAAAATACACCAATTTTTGAAATCCATTTGTGAAGGGGAAAAACCCGTCTTTCAGGTGTCCTATCCGAAGGGGCGTAGCTCCCTTAGGAAGCATTTCCGGGCCCATGTTAATAGGAACTTTTTGTCTTATTTTTATGCAAGGAATACGCCCCCGGAAGGATGCCGCTTACTTTTGAATCACCCGTATGTCTGTACTGGAGGAAGAAATCAGGACCGAGTTTATTCGAATACGGGACAGCAAATTCAATTATGAGAGGGTTATGAATATGTAAAGGTGTGAAAATAACATCTGTATGGCACATTGGATAAACCATAAAACATGGAAATGTGCATGAACAAATGGCAATATCCAAGTTAATTGGAAATTGGAATACTCAGGGCTGTGCTCTGGGATGAAAGTATATCGAAACCGTTATTAACCACGCAAGGCCGATAAATAGCAGAACGGTCGAGGCTAAAGTTTGGAATAAGGGGCTGACTTAGGCGACCTGGCGCTCAATGTAAAAGATTAACCCAAGGCCCTAGTATGTCCAAAATCTCAGATCACGCACTCGTAAAAGTCTATAGACGTAAGACTTTATGAACGGACTTAACGGCAAAATCATTCATTTTGAATTTCTCCTTCGCCACGGTGTCGCGAATGGAATTATTTAGTTGGGAATTAATTTTTGTTTTGGGAAGAAAGGGAACACCAGAATGATTTTCGATAAGTACCTATAAATTTATTGTTATAGGGCAGAGATTACATTTAAAGTACAACACACAAGAATTACCAAATAATCCTGAGCCAGCACGTCCCTTCGGGCCGGGAAGCATTTTTCCGTTTCCTATTGGGTTACCGCTACATGGAGAGCTTATCCTTTAGGACTTGTAAAATTATATCTGAGATTGCGTTTCGTATTAGGCCAGCGCACATTGTCTACCGCTAATCATATAGGACTTTTTGAAGTGCTTTGGCCGCATGAAAGTGATTTTTCAAGGTCGCGTCACTACACGATTTATATGCATATGATGAATATGAGGGTGAGAGATAAGTATTCACTTCTATAACGTGTACTGTGCTGCACGCGGCGTTTAAATTACCTATATCTAACATTGCGTTTCCTATTAGACCAGCGCACACCCTCTGCGATCGACTGCAAACATCCATTGCACTGTAATCCATTTCATTATCGTTGTGATTTTTCAAGGTTAATTGGTGGTTACAGGTGGTGCAATAATTTTGTAATATTTCTCGTTGTGTTTGGTTTTATTATCCCTGTTGATTCTGCACTGAGAAATCCTGTAGCCAAAAATTCTTGACTAATGGATTTTCGGGATCATACCAGAAATGTTGGCTGTTTGCAAAATGATCCTTTTTTATAGTAGTTAAACGCACTCTACTTAGCAAAAATTACCTTGGTTGTTTGGTTGTTAACAGTAAAGTTCTTTGCTGCCACTAATATTTTTTTCCTGTTACAGTAGAAACACCTATTATTAATATAAGTAGGTATATTTGCTACCACGCCAAAGTGTTTGCCTGCAACTATGAAAAAGTTTCTCATAGGTTTTTTATTACTGCTGGAAAGAATTTGGCTGCTACAAAAAAAATATTTATTAATCATTGAAAACGAAACTAATTTCAAAAGTCATGTAACAGCATGGTTGGCAAAATGAGCGTAGTTATTTAATTTATGTGCGCTGGTCTAATAGGAAACGCGACGTCAGATATAATTTAACAATTCCTATATGACTAGCGGTCCATGTAGCAGTAGACAATGTGCACTGGCCTAATAGGAAATGTGATGCCAGATATAATATTACAAGTTCTAAAGGATTAGCGCTCCATGTAGCGGTAACCAAATAGGAAACGGAAAAATGCGACCGGGAAGGGTCACGCTTAAGCCTGGTGTCCAAATACCTACTGATACAGGAAATCTAGTCTCAGTCATAAATCTACAATCTACAGTCCGTCGATTTCAATCTGATACTCCAAAGCTGGTGACTATACGGTAGAATGCCAATGGTCACCTGACGTCACACCTGTTTTTGCCATATGCTTCACCCCCTCGCTCTTCAGACGAAAAGCGTCAGATTGAAAACGATGGACACAATACCTCACCGCGCTAACGCCGTCTGAGTCTAGTCGCAGTCGCCTTCTATGGACTATCGAGCAGGAAATTGACATCTTTTGACAAAGAGTTCATCCAATTAAATATTTTTTATGGAAGCGGGATTCCCCAGGAAGGTTCCAGAATTATTACAGTTTACAGTTCTTCATTCCCACAACGTTGAAGTACCTCAAAAAAAATAACTACCTAACCCAAACAAATCATAAAATTACTGATAATATTAACCAAGAGACACTTTCCAACAAGCCCCTCATTGATCAAATATTTTTTGATAGTAGCAGACAATTTCCAACAAAGTAGGGATGCGCTAGGAAAGTTTCAGAGAAAGAAACCAAACCAATAGTCAATTTTCAATACCATTGTCCATTGTCCAAGTACACTCTGCAAGAATCATAATCTAATTTCACTCACCGACCATAAACATTTCTAATTTTGTCTATAATTTAGAACTTCAGCTTTCCAAATAGGGTACATTTTCGAAATATGAGAAACACACAGCAGTGGCAAGTTATTTGACGTGGAAGAAAACCAAGATTATATTCAAGCGAATATTTTGTATTAACCTTATTTAAGATACAAATACAAATTTTATAACACAAATAGCATTTTCATTGGAAAACGTTGGATTATAAATATGTTAAATAAGTAGTAGGCAAGTAGACATTTTTCATGTGCCTATACTTATTCAATATACTAATTTTGAGATAGGACATAACAGATTTGTATAAGACTAGACCTATTACAAAACTTTATTTTTACAAATCAATACCTAATGATTTTCTTAGTGAGAAGGAAAGCCTAATATTTATTACCTGAGAATCTTTTATATTTAGTACCAGTGTAAAGTCCAGCTGTAGTCTCTTCTTGTCTATGATTGTCACTACCATCCACTCTTTGCTCAACATTTTCCGGATAATTGGTTGCTGATGAAGCTATTTCTGTTGTGGTAATATCGTCGATGATAGAAACTGATTCTTCTGAGCTTTCTTGCTGTGTTCCAGAAGCGCTATCAGTATCAGCACTTTCACTTGGAGCAATTCCTCCACCAAAAACACGTAAAGAATTGACTGTGTTATGGCCAAAAGTTACTGGCGTTGGTGTCTGAGAATGCAATCCTTGATTGGTGATAGCTTGTACATCATCATCATCACCATTCTGGGCATTATGTTCGGAAATTCTATTAGCAACATTGGCACCGACGAAACTATTAGCTCCCAAGGAGTCCAAAGAAAAACCTCCAGAAGAAATTAAAGCATCGTTCACGCTGCCTTCAAATCGACTATCTACAGATGCGGAATTATGTACTGAGTGAGTGCCAACAGGTAGATGAGCAATAATTTGACCACTAGCTCCGTGTGTGCTTTGGATTTGTGCAACAGCAGCTTCAGCTTCTTTTTGTGTCTTATACCGGATGAAGAATACTTCGGGCTTAGAAGGCAGAGTCGTAGCAGCTTCTTTGAAGTGCACTTTGGGTTGGCCGTCGTGCTTCCTAACCAAAACGTAGACAAGAGTTTTTTCTTCGATTTGTGGAGCTGGTAAAGAAATCGTTGCTTGGTTCTTGTAGATTGGTGCTTTGACAAATATAATTTTGGTACTTTCTTTGGCTGGCACAGCAGATTGATCATATTTGGCTTCGATTACTTCATCCTCCTCTTCGGGAGCGGAGAAAAAATATAAATATTTAGACGCATCAGCAGTTGAACTGGCAGCAGCGGAGGAATCGTCAACATTATCACCACTGATTTTTTCTTGATATGTGCTGTCACTTGAATCAAATCCAGGACTTTGTTGATTTCCACTAGCTACACTATTTGAAACAAAGGGTTGACCACCAGCCTGGCCACGAATTTTATCATTAGCTCCAAAATTAAAAAAGGGCCCATTGCTTCCGGCTGCATCTTGGTCCAAATTAGCAACTGGTGCATCAGAAAGTGCTTGTCCTTCATTCGCATCACTGGAGCATTCTTGACTACAATTAAATGGGTTTTTATTTAGAGTTTCTAAGTGCTCATTGTCAAATTGAGCTTTGCTATTCAGTGATGAAGGGTCACTTTCAGAAGATTTATTGATTTGCATCCCATTTTCTGAAGGGACTGAATTTGATGATACAGCGCTGGCACTGTTGTATCCACTATTAAAATTCAAAGATCCCGAAACTCTGGGCAAAGTTAACCGGGGACTACTCCGAACCACTGAACCTTGTTGAACGGCGTAGCTGGATTGTGGCACTGGATTGTCATATTTATTTTCTTCTAAATGGCTAACATCTGCCCTGGAAAAAGCGACAAGGAAAGTCACCTGCAAAAAAAAAACTGCTTAATTTTTGGAAAAACAAATTAAGTAAAGTGAAATAAATAGGTACACGTAATGCACCGTTTGCTATAAATAAAGAGCATGCTGATAGATGGAAAAAAGTTGGGAACCAATGAAAAGGGCCCTGAATGTTTTGTAATAGCGGAACATCATTAGCAGGAACACCCAAACCAAACTAAAACTAGAATTGATGAAAGACTTGAGTTGAATCGGAAAATAGGTACCTAATGGTGTGGATTTGCTCTGGTTGGATTGAGAAGGGTTAGATTGAGTGGATCATATACCTAAGTTTAGCTTTTCCGACTTAAAATGAAGTTTTATTGGTGGATTTAAGCCGAAAAAGTAAATTGTACCTACTTAACATTAACAATTTAATTTTTTTAGTGTAATTTAGAGTTATGTTTTTGTTTAATAATGTAAACTTAAGTAGAAACTCACCAGTAAGATCTTCATAATTGAATAGATGTTAATCAGTGTGTGTGATGAGTATAAACAGTATAAACCAAAATCATAAATACAAGGAATTTATATAGAATCCCCTCTAAAACAGAAAAAATCCTACCATCATCAAGGTTGAATTAGGATTATCCAAATCTTAAAAATGTTGAAATTTATCACCTTGCTTAATGATGGTAGAATATAAAAAAATACGAATTTGTTACCTTAATCTACTAAGATTGACTAAAGCTTACGTAGTCGTATTGAGTAAACACTATGTATATGAATAGGCAAGTGTTCAACAAAAATCCAACAAATGTATGACCAGAAGGCAAAGTCATTGAATGAAATCAAACGTGCCGACATGAAACTCAATAATTGATTGTTTATTTTCAATTAATTGTTGAAATATTCGGTAATCTTTGTTTGTCTATTTGTCGTGAAATAATTATGTTTGCATTATTTGCTAATGATATCCGGCATGTGAGTTAATGAATAGAAAATAAAATAAATATAATTTAGGATTATTTAATAAGTTTTTTTTTTTATATCAGGGTTATGATGAGTTATTTCGTATTAGCGGTTTTTTTTTCTTCATTTCCTTCATTTGAAGTGAAACAAATTGATCATAATTTCTTGAGATTGTTATTCAATATGGAGATATTGTTGAGATGAGTAAGCTGTAGAGGAAATACGTACAAAATGACATATGGTTTTACTTTTGGTTTACAAATCTTTATTGATAAGACAGGGCACAGTCATATTCCACACAAATCACCTTTTGTTCATTTCTTATCAAAACAAATAAACATTTTCTATAGGATAGAAATAATAAAAAATAAAATTTTCAGTTTAACTAAAATCAAGCAAAATCCATTTTGTCCATATGCTTTGGACAAAATGACATATTACACAAGGACAAAATGACATATACAGGGTGGAATTTTTAAATGGAATAAAATTAGTATCAGAGAGCCTGTTTATTTCCTGGAAAAATAAAAAAAAACGGGTCCCTTTATTTTTAGTTTGGCAAATTTTTTCGGCCTTTTCATGGAATTTACCCCTCTCTTAAGGGTAGAAACCACCCCCAATTTTTTTTTTCAAATGTAAAGATATGTATTGTGATAGCTCGTTGAAATGGGCATAAAAAAAGGAATATGACCCGCTATTTACTTTTGAATTTCGGTGATCTAGAAAGCGAGAAAAAAATAAGAAAATATTTTTCCAAACATTTTTTTTGCAGTTAAAATTGTTGAATATTTTCAGTATTTCTTCTTGGTAGAACCCTAATGCGAAATAAGCCCCATTTGTAACGTTATGTAATTATATCTGACGTAAACACACTATTTGATGCCTGATACTCGGATTCTCAACCCTAAAATAGTGCGTTATTGTCAAAAATAATTACATAACTAGATCACCGAAATGCAAAAGTAAATAATGGGTCATATTCCTTTTTTTATGCCCATTTCAACGAGCTATCACAATACATATCTTTACATTTGAAAAAAAAAAAGTTGGGGGTGGTTTCTACCCTTAAGAGAGGGGTAAATTCCATGAAAAGGCCGAAAAAATGTGCCAAACTAAAAATAAAGGGACCCGTTTTTTTTATTTTTCCAGAAAATAAACAGGCTCTCTGATACTAATTTTATTCCATTTAAAAATTCCACCCTGTATGTAAAAACTATTCAATTATTGACACAGTTCACATATAAACTTCTTGGTTCTTCTAGGAACATCAGCGCAAGCCGCGTGAGCCCAATGCGAGCAACTTAAGCACCGCAACCAGTCGACTCCGGGCCTAGATCGTCAAAAAAGATCATTGCAATATATGCATGGACAATCCTCTTCATCATCTTGAAGGTTATTGGGAAAATTTTCTTCATCACTGTCGTCTTCAAATATTTTTTTAGTAACATTTCGTATCCTCTTCACTGGGGGAGGTTTAGGATCATTTTTTGATTTAATTTTCATCATAGTGGAGGAGTGGAAGTTAAAACTAAATAGGACTGCCGAGTCTTTGGTTTAGGTTCCCTTGGCCACTAATAAAGCGTCCTTTTGGGGCCGGACAAGTCTTCTCAATGGATACACTAAGTATAGAGGACAATGAAGCAGCAGATGGATGAGTTTGATTCAAAAGAGGACTTGAAGTTGAAAGAATCCTTTTTTGATTAGTTTTTGCTGCTGGAACCTCAGAAGGATCGTCTTGTTGATTGGTAGTTACCATGGTATGGGAACTCTGTGGCCTAGGTGGAGATTGAGGTGGTGTAGTCTCGGCAATTTCAAGAATGTGTGTTACAGGAAGCAAAACTGAATCGTCTTGTAGCTGTGTAGATGGCCCAGGAATAGAAGCATGAGCAGAAGTCATTTGAGGACGAGGTCGCTCATTGGCGGTATCTTCCAGCAGTATGTTTGTAGTCTCCGCAAGCTCGAACATATAATCAGGGAATATTTCAGGATTTAGAGGCCAAATACCAGTGCTTTTGAATCCTTGACAACCATTTTGCACTGTAGCTGCCCTGCCGTATGCTTTGTTGAACAGGCCGGCAATCTGAAATTGTGTAACAACACGCCCAGGATGTGCTTTCAGACACTGGGATATTTCTTGGTTGAAATAAGTTTTCAAGGACGCGAAAAATGTAACATCCAGAGGCTGCATGCGATGGGTGCAGTGTGGAGGCAAACAAATAACAATTATACCGCTGTATTTCGCATATTCTAAAGTTTCAATCCCTTTACGACTTGCGTGGCCATCGACAATCAAAACCTTACCGTCAATACTTGCTTTTACAAAATTTTGGAAATGCTTCATCCGCATTTCAGAAATATTTCAGTGGTCATCCACCCTGATTGTTGAGCTACACCTAAAGTACCAGGAGGAGCTTCGTCGACAAGTTCATTTTCCATGTTTTTCTTAGGAAAGATCAACATCGGCGGGACAAACGTACCAACGGCATTAACACAACAAACAACAGTGGTGTTTGTTCCACGCTCTGCACTGGTTATAACGCCAACTTGCTTTCTTCCAGTAGTACCGTTAAATGGGGTTACTTTGGCAGGTTGCTATGGTTTTTAAGTTCTGAACATGGTTTTCTTTTGTTTTAGGTTATAATTGACTAATAATGCCGCGACACAACAAGAGAAAACTGGGGGGGGGGGGGGGGGCGCCGTTACGCGAGCTATTCGCAGGCAGACTTAGAAAGGGCACTTGCCGCCATTAGAGGCGGCATGCCGCAGGCGGTGGCAAGCCGAAGATTCAAAATTTCGCGGGGAACCCTTCAGAACAAGTTGAAGGGCATACACATGCGACCCCCAGGTCACCCAACTATATTTGCGCCAGAGGAGGAGGAGTTATTAGTGAAGACTTTGTGCACAGTGAGTGACTGGGGCTTCCCCTTCACAAAAAGTGACATTCGTGAAGTTTGTAAGGCGCTAACTTTTGTGTAATCAGGGCGGTTTCCCAGTTAGGGTTTATTCGGCGGTATGTCTCGGGCGCCACCCTCAGGATTAAAGTGGTTGGAGGGCCCACGTGCACCAGGCAGCTTTGATACAGAGGAGAAACGGTACTTCAGGGGTCGCAAGCGATACTTACTCAAGACTCGGCGAGTCCCTGGTATAAATACCTGAAAAGCCCTTAACTGTTTCCTGAAAAATTACTGAAAGGTGTTGGGTCAGGATAAGCAATAAAACAGTGGATGAAACCAAAATGGAAACATCTGTATTACGAAAGAAAAACTAATATATATGGGTGTATTGGACCTAGACGGGATATTCTAAGATAGGTAATAATTTAAAAAAAAATATATTAATAATAATTAATTTTAAAAGAAAGAAAAATGGAGAGCAAGCGAGAACATGCAAGAGAGGGTGTTACAACAGTGCGAACAAATGGAGAATGGCGGTGCGGAAAAAAAAAGCGGGTGGTACAGGCGGTGAGATGCAGAGTTATCTAATTACTCTATATACAGGTGAGGTGTCGGAACGGAAATGTAATGAAGTTGAGCAGTAGTAGCAGTGGAAATTAGCAACAGGCAATAATGGTAAAAACTCCGGTAACCCAAGCAAAGAAAATACGGATCTCGGATAGCGGAAGTATCAGTCCTCGTGATAGTAAGTTTTAATTCCAGCATGCACTTAAAATTCCGAGAGAAATGCCTGTTCAGAGTTCTCAGGCGAAAGACTCTCTTATAGATCACCCGTCCGGGGTACTCGGGTAATATTCGGCAATAGAGGTTGCCCGTTCAGGGTACTCAGGCGAAATCCCTATTGCCAAGTGTCGGATAACTTCGCGGCGTGACACCACAAGCCTTCGGAGGGAAATGCCTGTTCAGGGTACTCAGGCAAAGATCCGGTAGAGTTCAACTGCAATAGAAATTGCCTGTCCAAGGTACTCGGGCGAAATCTCTATTGCAGGAAAGCCTGTAGTGTCTATTATTTTACCTACTGGTGCGATGTGTGAGACGGTGTAAAGTGAGTACTGAACTTACCGCTCGGGCTGATCGGTGATTCCAGACTTAATAATTCTGGCAACTGGTCACGTCGGGATCGGCTTCGTAGTACTGCTGGTGGCTTGATGGGTTTCAAGCATCGGCTGGTACTGACTATTATTCGCAATTTTTGCCCTGTTTATAGTCGTAGTACAATAGGGAATCGCCGTCCGGTAACGACGCCGACGGTTTTTCTGCTGCATTGTAATGCGGCTTGGGCCTGTGTTTGTCCCTTAGCGTTTGCTAACAAGGTCATGCGTTTAAATATTACTGTACTGAATATTTATTTATTATTTCGGAAATAAATTAGAATAATTCGCGGTATGAATGTAAAATTGAGGTAACTTTGTTACAAGTTCTGCACAAATATTTGGAAAAAAACGGGCGCGTGGCGAAGGAATTTAAAAACAATATTCCTGTTTCCTGGTAAAGATTTTTTGGAACACTTTATCCAAAGAAATCACCTTAGTGCTCGTTTAGCCGCGAATATCAAGCGGGCACGTGCAGCAGTAGGGGTAAATGCGATTCAAGAGTTTTTTGGTAACATTAAAGACGTTCTAGCGGATGCAGATCCAAGACTTGTATTTAACTATGACGAGACTAACATGCAAGATGATCCTGGATCTAGAAAGGTCGTGGTTCCCAGGGGAACCAAACGAGTCGAAAGGGTGCAGCAACATTCCAAGGCATCTGTTAGCATAATGGTGTGCGGCAATGCAGCAGGTGAGCTGCTTCCGCCGATGGTGGTTTACAAAGCTGGAAACCTTTACGACAATAATTGGACTCGAGGAAGACCTCCAGCAACCATTTATTCAAGTACTCCAAGTGGTTGGTTTGACATG